TGAGTGATGCTTTCTTTATTTAAATCACATGCTTGGGGATGGTGGGGGACACAACATAACGACACTTCCTTATTCTTGGGGCTCTGTTCTCAACAACTATTTCATAAATTTAATTGTACGGTCTTAAATATCCTGGTTGGTGCCTTAGCATTTTTATATTAATCTATCAGCAGCTCTGTCATCCTAAGTGCCTGACTTTACCCCAGAGGCATCAAACTCACTAGGGTTTTTCTGGTTAAACATTAAAAATGTAAATTAATTATTTAAAGAACTAGATTTAACAGAAGATATTTTTCTAGAAGGCACTTGAGTTTTCCCCCAATAAACTGCAGCTGTGATTCTATTTTGTGGGACCAAGTTAATTAATTATAGTTTCAGAGGCAATTTATTTGAAAGGAACCAGAAATCCCTAATGTTAATCCTTTTTATTTGAGTGGGTGGGTCTGGACGGTGGACACCCCTAGGTCCTGTTCCTGAGTCTATGTCCACGTGTCGTTTCTGATAGTGCTTAGGGAGGGACCCTTTTCAGTGCTGGGGATTAAACTGGGGTTGCCAGTATGTAGGAAAAGTTCCTTAACTTCTATTGTTCTGCTCTGTCAATATAGTTGTTTTTCTGGACCACTCAATGATACTCAGGTATTACTACTGACTCTGCACTCAGGAATCACTCCTGATGGTGCTTAGGGGACCAAATGGGATACTTATGATCAAACCTGAGTAGACTGCATGCGAGACAACTGCCTCACAAACTATATAATACTGCTCCAGAACCCTGTTAAGGCAATTTTTCAAAAGAGCAATTCATGACAATGACCAGCATTCAACTTTGGCAAATTGTAATGTCAATATATATTTTTTCTCAAATGAGTTTTCTTCTCAGCAGGACTATATCATAGTATAAATTATAAAGCGAAAAAAATCACAAATTTGTAAGACATAGTATTAATTTATTCTTCTGAATTTATGAGACTATTAAATGATGAGATATAGTTATTAATAAAACAGTAGCATATATACTTAAATATTCATTTACTAGAGTCAGTGTTAACAGAGTTTATTTTACACTTCACTCAAAAATTTTCATTAGTTATTTGAGTTTGATAATTACTGCTATTTACAGACCAACGCTAATTATAAAAGTTTTAACAAATTATGAATATTTATATTCATTTATATTTGTACATAAATATGGTAATATGTTTGAGAATATATAATATAGTTTATAAATATATTTTGAGAGAGAATGACAAGTCATGATTTTAGTCATGCTTGCCAATAAGTTTTATATAAAATTTGGTAGATTTATATTTCACTAAAAACAGATTCTAAATTAGTTTTTATCAAACGAACTTCTAAATATATAGAACTATATGAAACATAATGAATTAATCTGTTCCTTTTACATGAATAATTTTATGCAATTCACTTGAGAATTATATATAATAAATTTAAAATCTTTTAGTTAAGGCTATTTACAGTATATTTTCATCCTAAAAGTATAATATTTCTTCTATAATTATATTTTTATAGTAAAAGAGTGATCAGGAATGTCTAGTTACAAATGACTGCTACCAAAAAAAATGCGCTAAATTTATTTTAAAGCATCTCTGGCTTACATTAAGAAGTCCAGTTGCAGACTTAGCCTTGCCTCAATACTATCTGTCAAACAAATCTAGAATGGAATATTGAATTAAACTGCTGTTTTCATGATTGTTTTTCACAACATATAAGAACAATTTATATGTTGTTCATTGACACACATCAAAGCAAATTTGGAAAGTTTTCTTTAAGCAGGTGACTTTGCCAATCTGCTTTTTTTTATATACACAACCCTCATTATTCATTTACTCCAATGGAAGAAAAAGTCATTATATATTTCAATACTGGGAGATTTCTGAGGGCTAGAAACACAAGTTGCCTCTATGTTTGGATAACTAAAACTTCAAGAAAATGCTAAATTTAAGTGCAAAATGAAAGAAATTGGAGCTGCCATGAAAACAGCAAGAGCTTAGTTACCATCAATATCTCTTGTTTTTTGAAATAAGGTGAGGGCCTGGATTACAATACAGTGTAGTGGAGTGCGGAAAATATCTCCGTGTCGAGGTGCTTAGAAAGTAGCTTGCCTCTAGTAGAAGTCAGGGGAGAATGTTACTGATCCTTAGGTTGGTGGGAAGGGAGATGGAAAATTAAGTAAAATTTTTTTTGTAACAAAAAGAAATACTATAGTTTGCATCATGTATAATAATTCTTGGAGGCTTGATTTCTTCCATTGATTCTGGACATGAAAGAGGCAAAAATCTGGGTGCACAACTTATTTTAGGTTAGACCTGAATACAAAGGTTCTCTCCCAAAAAGTAAAAATAAAGAAAAGAAAAACAAAGGAGAGAAAAAGAGAGAGGTGAAATAGTTGGAGGAGAGGTTATAGACGGCTACCTGGCAATAATAAAAGAAATCTCATTTGTTTTATTGGTCCTTCATAACCCAGGAGGAAAAAATAATAGTATACATAGACGTTAGAGAATTCAGCAAGAAAGGAAGTGATCACTGGAGCACAACTTTTTGTAGGAGAGATGAGACGAATAGCTAGAACATGTGGATATTGTGACTGAAAAATCAACGTTAGAAAATGTTAATTTGAAGGCAGAAGAGGTAGTACAATGGGTAAGGCTTTGGATGCAACAGACCTGGATTTAAATCCCTACACCCTATATGTCCTGTGAGCCCGCTGGGAGTGATCACTGAACTCAGAATCAGGAATAAGCCTGGAGCACGTCTGGGTGTGGTATCCCCCAACAACAACAACAACAGCAACAAAAAAAAAAAAAAAAAAAAAAAAAGAAAAGAAAAGAGAAAAAAAGAAGAAGAAAAAAAGAAAAAGAAAATATTACTGTAACTGGTATGGTAATCTTTAAATAGAAGCAACAAGAGATCACCAGGAGTGATCTCTTCCCTGCTAGAACATCATTTTGAAGACTGCAGAAATTTTGCTGTAGTCTAATAAAAAATTAGAATTTTCTGACTCAGCATATTTTAGTAGTATGTTTGATTGGAACCTCTACAATTTACTAATTAATTTGAAGTCATGTGGATATTTTACGTTTAATAACACTAAATATTTTTTTGAACAAGTAGCTTTCATGATGACTAAGAGAAATATAGAAAGTGTCATATGTAGTGCTAGTACATGGATTATGACTGATCAAGAAAAGGTATAATTCAAATGAAGTAATAATTTGATTTTTGTAATGGAGGACACATCTGGTGGTGTTCAGGACTTACTCCTCGCTCTGTGCTCAGAGCTCACTCTTGACAGTATTCAGGGACTCTGCTTGTTTCTGGGGCTCAAACCTGGGTCAATCACATGCAAGTCACAAACACATTAATCCTGTACTATCTCTCCCGCCTGAGGTGACAACAATTTGAAATGAGTTACCGTTCGCTTACAAGAACACTGATAAATAGATATTTGAGGCAAGTAAATTTAGAAGCTTGACTGTGCTGAGAAACCATTTCTCAAAATTAACATTGTGTTTTTTATATCTACCTCTGAAGCAGCATAAGTGGAGCACTGTCAATGAGCCATTCTTGGATGCTTTGGATTCTATCTTGGTATCAGCTGTCAAGCTCTACTATCACAAGCAGCACTTCCTTACTCTACAAGCGAGCAGCCTAAGGAAAATTCTGGACCCCTAACAAGTACTACTTCTCCATTGCCACTTTTCTCAGTGGCTCATAACTGCTTCCTTTTTACACCAATTAAATTGGTATGCTTATATAATTGTATTGTGCATTCTCTCCTCCAACAACACAATTATATTTTAATTGTATCAAATAAATGATTGGAGGCTTAATGACTCTCCACACAGGTGCGAGTGGGTACATTAAAATTTGAACCACACTTTAATCATACTTGACACATATCTATTGTATGGCTTGTTTACCTTGATTCTTCTAAGGTAAAGGTAAAGGTAAAGGCCCTCCCGTTGATCGTCGATTTGCTCGAGCGGGCCCAGTAACGTCTCCATTGGAGACTTTGTTGTTACTGTGTCTGGCATATCGAATACTCTCGGTAGCTTGCCGGGCTCTCCGAGAGGGGCGGAGGAATCGAACTCGGGTCGGCCATGTTGGCCGCGTGTAAGGCGAACGCCCTACCCGCTGTGCTATCGCTCCAGCCCTGATTCTTCTAATATTCAAATATTTAAAGCACACAATTCTACATTTCTCTGTAAAGATAGTATGTAGATTTCTCCTTGAAGAAGTACATATAGATTTCCATAGACGTGAAATTTAATTTCTACACTAAAGCCCAATATAGTTTCTGCACTAAGAGCAGCATACCTTATTTTATGGATTTTAATGCATTGAAAGTATGATGAATGGGCTTTGGGCATAGAATTTTGTTCAGATGCAACAACTTTTCGAATTGGTCCTAAGATTTTGTTTTTCTTCTTTCTCTACTACAATGTTGTGTGGTGGAAGATATAGACCAATTTTTATCCATTTTCTATTTCTCTATACTTTCTTATGTGGTTGACTGCATATTTTATTGATGTATTCATTTATTAGGGACTCTCCTAAGCAGTGCTCAGGGATACAAATGGGACCCTGCAGCACTTTGGAACACCTGCAAGTACAACCTCCCACAGCTCAAGCAGGTGTTGGTGCTGAGGTGGAACTGGGTCTCCCAGATCCTTTTTACATGACTTTATTAATATAGGCATCGATGCATAAAATTTCCCTCATTCTTTAAAAAGAAATAAAGTGATAGCGCAGCGGGCAGGGCATTTGCCTTGCACACGGCCTGACCCGGGTTCGATTCCCAGCATCCCATATGGTTCCCGGAGTATGGCCAGGAGTAATTCCTGAGTGCATGAACAAGGAGTAACCCTTGTGCATTGCTGGGTGTGACTGAAAAAGCAAAAAAACCAAAAAAACCAAAACAACAACAACAACAAACAAACAAACAAACAAAAAGAAATGAAACCAAGTAAGTTACTTACATTTGGAGCCCGAAGAAGAGGATCCACTGACAGCAGACCGCGACCCCCCCTTCATGGAGAAGACGCCTTTTCCTCTGCGGGTGGTGGCCACGGTCACTCTGGGGCGCTTCAGTGGGATCACCGCCCGGGGGGGTGGAGGCACACGGCCGTGGTAATCAAATAACCTTCACAAAACACACACGTGCCCGAGAGTTAGTTTATCCTTCTGCGCTCCATCCAACGCATGAAGTGATGAAGAGAATGGCTTTGAAGTCATGGCAATCAATACTGCAGCCTTGCTGATCTCACACAGGTATATTCGTTAGAGGCTTGCTGTCTTTGTTGCTCTGTGTGGGGGCCACACTGACAAAATGCTCAGATGCTATTCCAGACAATAACCCTGAGGACGCTTGGGGGTCAGAGCTGGGGTTGGTCACAAGCAAGGCAAGTGCTTTACATGCTTCACCCCCTGAAATATCCCTCAGCCCCCAGAGATTCATTCTTTGGACAAAGAGAATACTGGTGTATCCTTTCCCGCTGTTGGGCTATTAGTTATTGAGTCTCTAAGGTGAACGTTCTTTTCTTTTTTTTGTGGGGGGGGGGGCGGCATCCGAACATGCTTAGGGGCCTTGGGGCTGGCGATTCAAGGAAAGGGCCTAAGGATGTGATGCTATTCATGTCCCCTGGTGCTAGGGATTACAGTTTATCTTGTCGGGGTCCTGCAGGGATGTCCTGGGAGATACTTAGAGTACCACGTGTTTCCAGGGACCCAGCTGGGACTTGCCACATGCAAAGCATTTACCTGGACTCTCTCTCCAGCCTGTTGAACTCATTTTAAGGTACTTGCTCCAATGATATCATTCAGTTTATGCTTACCTTTGTCCCCAAATATATTTCCTGGTTTTAATAAACTTATCCTTAGGAACAGACATTTTCTTCTTATAGACCAGATACTTATAAGTACACTTATTTGAAAAAAGGAAAAGATCATCCACCAAAATTGGAAGAAAGCAGATTACTGTTATTTTTTATCACAAAATAGTACAGAAGTGAAACAGACATAGGACTAGCAAAAAAAAAAAAAGCTATATGATAAGTCAGTATGGTGCAGCGCCTTTTAATAAAGATTTATTTGTTATTTTGTTTTGGGGTCACATATGACAATTCTCAGTGGTTATTTCTGGCTATGCACCCAGGAATTACTCCTGTCAGGCTCAGGGGATCATATGGGACACTGGGAATTGAACTTGGGTCAGCTGTATGTAAGGCAAGTAAGTGCCTTTCACACTGAAGTATTTCTCTGGATCCACTAAGGATTTTTTCAATAAGAAACAGCTCCTTTGATTTTACTAAAAAGGAGACCGCATTTAGATGAATTGTTCTAGCATTGGCACAAGTTTTTGTTGAGTAAATTATTGACGAGAAGTTTTTTATTATGATATCTTTTACTATTTTGAACATTTGTTAGATGTGAAAATTTAAACTAGAGATAATCGTGCAGGAAGTTATTGAGAATGTTTGAAAAATAGAATAATAAAAAAATTCATAGAGGGTCTCACTAAAAAATTAGAAAAATTTATATTCACCACAATCAGTACATTTTTATTAAATAATGAAGGAAATTAAAATTCAAGAAAAAGTATAAGAATTTATTCAATTCTATAAATATAATTTGCATAGTTCAAGCTACACCTTACTTACACTGTGTATGCATAGAAAACAAATTTTCACATTACCTTGTATATTTGATAAGCATAAGTAATCAGGAAAAGTATGATGATATATTTATCCATTTGTTATTAAAATTATTCACTAGTAACCAGATGTCTAATTATGCTATCAACTCTAAGGAAAAGAGCGTTACTATCTTAGAATGATGATTGCTATATATGTTACTGTGTCACCATTGTATTTCTTGTCCTAGCAGCTGCCAGAGCTATCAGGACTGGAGTGATAGCACAGTGGGTAGGGCGTTTGCCTTGCCCTACCAGGGTTTGATTCCTCAATCCCTCTCGGAGAGCCCAGCAAGCTGCCGAGAGTATCTTGCTCGCATGGCAGAGCCTGGCAAAGTCTCTGTGGCATATTCAATATGCCAAACACAGTAACAACAAATCTCACAATTGAAACCTTACTGGTGCCCACTCAAGCAAATCGATGAACAATGGGAGGACAGTGCTACCATTGTCTTTAGACTACATTTTCACAATTGCTTTAAAATGGTCAATGAAGTTTCATCTAGCATAAAAGTCACAAATAAGAAAACTCAGATGGGAAAAAAATATAAAAACCCATAGCAATAGTAATTTATTTCATGAAGTAGTATTTTACACATATGATCACAATTTTATCATCTCACTTTGGATATTTATACCTGTAATATAATAAAAATTGTGATAGATCTGATTTCCAAATATTCACTCAGAAACATTTAAAACCATACCACTGTCGAGGATGATAATGTGTGAACTGCATCCAACCAGAACTCTGTACTCAGGTTGCCTCTTATGTTCAAGAGGTAAATGTTCTGAAATGTTTTAGAAACATGCTGGGGAAAAATAAAAATGTTTGATAAAGAAAATAAATGAAATGAGACAGAGTTCAAGAGAGGTGTCATCCTTTGTGAAAAAGAAAGGTTCATTGGCACCGAAGAACTACTAGCCAGGAACAGGTCATGATGTCAACACATTATAGTTTCCTTCTAACAGCAGAGGATGAGGCTGGAAAGGGTTAGAAATATCATCCATACCACTAGGGTCTTGAAAATCAAAAGGGTCAATGAAATCTGCCCCTTATTTCAATCACAAAACATAGTCCACATTACTTATTTATAAGTTGAACTCACAGAGCACCTTTACTCAGCGAACCAAATCATGAAGGCACTTTTCGTGAGCTATAATACCCAAGGTTGCTAAGGGGAAAGAAAATGTGGCAATTGACTGATCTCTTGCAAAGTAGATGTTGTCCCTGGAGATGAAGGCAAAGCCCTGAAGCACCTTTTCCCCCGTCCATGCAAGTACATTTGGTAGGTTCATTAAATAAACAAATTTAGAATTTGGGTTAAGAAAGTTTCTAAAGCACAAGTACACACACACACACATATATTTATACATACCATATACACATATATACGCTTACAAACTATCTATCTATATCTATCTATATCTATATTTCTCTGTATGAAAGCAGGAATAATGTCATCAAAATGCAGGTCAAGTAAAGCCACCACATGCATTGCTACTTTCTTTACAATTATTTACATTAGAATTCAACCTTATTTTTTAGAGAACAAAAATTTTTATCAATATTTCTATTGCTCTCCTCTACCAAAGTTGTCAAGGCCCCTCGTGTCGACTAGGACTTGTATTTTTGTTGTTGTTATTGTTGTTGTTCATTACATTTGTGACATATTCTTTTTTTAAAAAACTTTTTTTTGACCACAGCTGCAGTACTCAGGGTTTACTTCTGACTTGATTCTCAGAAAGTACTCCTGATGGTGCACACGGGATTTTGGGGTCAACTTTTCCTGCTGTACTGTCACTCCAGTCCCCTGTGACATATTCTTAATCTCCAAGACATACATATTTGGTTAACATATTCAGTGACTGTTATGTGCCATGATGTTAAATTCGATAGTACGTGGCCTTGGTGCCCAGACTATATGTTGCTGAGTACAAACATGACTATGTTATTAACAAGGAATTGGGGAAGGGTTTCACAGTTCTTTCTGACACCCTGCTGAGAAGACAGGGAGCATGAGGACTTAAATTTCTAAAGGGATTCGTAATTTATGAAACAAAAGTAAAGATAGGCATGGACACATCACCTAACAGGATAGCACTGTAGCACTGTCCTCGCGTTGTTCATTGATTTGTTCGAGTGGGCACCAGTAACGTCTCACAACAAATTATGAGACTTGTTGTTTCTGTGTTTGACATATCAAATACGTCACAGGTAGCTTACCAGGCTTTGCCGTGCAGGCGAGATACTCTCGGTAGCTTGCCGGGCTCTCTGAGAGAGACGTAGGACTCAAACCCGGGTCAGCTGCATGCAAGGCAAACACCATACTTGCTGTGCTATTGCTCCAGTGGAAAATAAATTATCTAGCATCTGCCCCTGGCAGGTAAGCTTGAATGGTGGTGGGAAATTTCAAGCAAAACAAAATTCCCAAAATTAGAGATAGAGTATTGGGGGAATTGTCTGCCATGGAGGTAGGGTGAGGACTGAGATGTGGGTGGTAGAGAATGTACACTGGTGGAGGAATGGGTGTTTCATCATTGTATGGCTGAATATCAAACATGAAAACTTTGTAACTCTATCACATGGTGATACAATTAAAAAAAGTAATATGGAGTTCATGCTCAATTCAATCAGCTTAATCAGTGCTGAACAAATAGCAGTACACCTACATTTTTATTTATTTATACCTAACAGGATACATTTTTAATTTTACCAAATTTAAGGGAAATAGGAATTTACAGATTTTTTTCTGGGGCATATTTGAGTTACTGAAAATCAAAAGAAAGAAGACTGAATATTGTTCTATGCACAAAAACACAATAATACAGGGCTGGAAGGGGGAGTAGGTTTTTGGGGGATTACAAGATGGCATGTAGTGGGTCTTCGAAATTCAGAAATAAGAAGATGAATATTGCTGAGGAAATTGACACATCAGTTTACAAGCAAATAGAAGACATTTTGCCTTTAGGAAGTGTTAGATTGGCAAGTAATATTGAGAGAAAAAGAAATAATTCATTTACAATGAAAGGTGGACTATAAAGAGCATTCAATAGAATGGAATGAAATACAAATGTAAATATATTTCATTTTTTTTATTTCTTTCACTCTTACAGTTATATTACCCCTGCTTTTTGTTGAGTTAGAATGACATTTTCCCCATAATATTTATTGGTCAAGTAAGTAATGATCTCCTGCCCCCACGCCTGGCTGTCCTCACCGGGGCCCCTTGGAGGGGGGAGGCTTGAGTTTCCCTCCACACCCCGATCAGGGCTCTGGCAGCCGAAGACCTCCAGAACCAGCCACCACCATGCTGAGGCCACTCTCCACAAGCATGAAGGTACCGGCAGAGGAACAAAGGCATGTGGGTCCCGGGGCTGAGATCTCCAAGCCTGCTCGGATCGGGGCTGAGCATCCTCCACCCAGATCCTCCAAATTCCAGTAGGCAGGG